CTCTTTTATTTTTAACATTATATATGGTGGTTATCATTCTACTTAAGTCCATATGAATTTATATATATGAGAAATAAGCTTTGATACTAATTATTGTTCTAGGATTAAGGCAACAACAACATAATAATTATGTCAAATAATGCAAATAATCACACTAAGCACATATAACATAATAATCAATAATATAATAAAAGTGTTTAAAGTAAAGAGATAAGAAAAGAGAGATTGCAAACTTAGTTTTTAACATGGTTCATCAAACCTACATCCACACCTCAAATACTAACCGTAATTGAGTATTATACTCTTTTACTAATCCAAGTGAAAGATACAATATACTTGATGAATTCATGTCAAGCAATTACACCACTTACAGATTTTTTCTCTTCAAGATGTTTCTACTAGTGACAATACCTTACCAATGCCACGAGTTTATCCAAACTTCTAGGTGTTTACAATTATAATTTGTTTACAAGAAGATTCACTCTTTCAAAAAATAGATTATACAATTAAAAATTATAATCTCTATAGCTTACTCAATAGCATTTAGGATGATTGAAGGTGTGTAAGTGTAATGGGTGTGAGATTTTATACTCTTGTGCTAGAATACAAAGATTTAATTTAACACAACATAGAGTATGTTAGGATTGATTATTTCTAGTTGTTGTTTTTTTTTGGATAACTTTTATATGATTTATATTCAAAATCTCTCCTTAATTTTTCATAAGAAAAAGCTATATATATGTTTCTAAAAGAAACTAGTTGTTTATAGTTGTTAGAATTCCTTTTACACCCAAAGAAGTTGATCAATTTAAATGATCATATCATTCGGTTAACCAGTTCTTGTAAGATTCTCAGGTTTTCATCATAAATAAACAACGGTCGACTAGTTCACTTTGTATGCCTATACAGTTGACTGATTTAGCTTAAAAACTAGTTTTAATTATTTCAAACCAGGTGAAACTTAAACCAATAAAATGTATATCAGTGATATTTATGTATGCAATGTGAAGTATGCGAATTCATTTTAGTTTCCTATTGAGTAAGTTACACATATTTAACAATAAGCTCTAAAATAAATCCTTAATAGATAAGCCTTCATTTACTTTGCATTTTGAACTTGTTGATGAATTTCTTCATTTAATTTTATGTAAAAGTTGTTTAAACTTAATCTTATTCAAGCATATCAATAGTTTATTTTTTATTTAATTATTATCATCAAAATACAATATATTATAAATATTAATATGTGACCTATAGGTCAACATTTGTTTTAGGTAAACACTCATTTCTCCTACAAACACATAAACAAAACTTCATAAATAGTAATAACAAAGCACAAAATAATAAGCATTTTATTTTCCCAGACGCTTTGCTAGATATGTCTTCCAAATATAATTGTTTAAGAGAATTGGGTGAGTAAATGATAACACATAAATATTTTTGAAAATGAAATTAGTTGTTTTGGATAGCCTAAACAATTCGAGTTTCTCTCCCCTCTTTCTCTTCTTTTCCTTCATCCCCCCCTTAATTTCTTTCTTTATCAAGCTAGACTATATTGGCATAAACCTCTATATATTTTTGTCATTTCCCATGATTGTGCAGCACATATAAAATTTTTTGTGCACAAAAACTTTTCTATACATGATACATTTTAAGGATACTTTTTATATAGCAACACTATTTTTCTTACACCATCTCTATATATGACATAAAAAATATCACTACCAACATCTCTACTAATGGAATAACAAAACAACTTTAGCCAATAACATCACATATATTTCCAACAATGCAAGCAAGTCACATCAACCATGACCCTATTTTCTAGTTTCTTTTTCTTGATGTAAGTTCAAGGACTTAGTGTATAAATACAATCAAAGCAAGCTTTAGGCCATACAAATCCTAGTCCATTCAATATATAAGCTTTGTGCCATACAAGTTCAAGGTCTTTCTATACAAACTATAGTCCATACAAATCCTAGGCCGTGTAACATATAAGCTCCATGTTATACAAGTACAAGGCTAAGCCATATATTGTCTAAGCAAATTTTAGGCCATAAAAGTCACTATAATGTTACATAAAAGCTTTTTCTCAACACATTTCTCTTCATATACATACTAAATGCCTTCCGCACTTACTAACTTAAGCATCAAATGGTCTCGTGTTCAATTATGAAAATTTCTTTGCAAGAAAGCTCATGGACCCTAAGCCTAATCACTTTATCAACCTATGATATAATCATTAAAAGCCTATATTCTATATGAAATTTGTTAACAAGTTCATCAATATCCAAGTAAAAAGTTTATTTTGTCTACTTAAGTTTTACTTAACAAGGGAGTCGACTACTATATTCTTCATTCTATTTACATGGCTAAAAGTTATAAAATTAAGTTTACTACTAAACATGGTGCTAGATAGAAAAGAAAACATTCTTTATGACTTATTTTCTACTTTACCCCTAATCCATTTAATTCCACTCATTAAATAAGTTTTATAACCTAATAAACTTTATTTGCAAGAGAATGAGTAATACTAGTCTCCATAGCCATTTATATTGTTAGCCCTTTAATTTTATTAGATTTCTTAATACTTGTGGATATAGAGAAAATGTAAAGGAATCTCCTTTCATGATCTATGAGGACACCTTTAATGCTTGAAATTTCTAGCTTTTCCAAAGCAAAACCATCAACATTTCATTTCAAAATGTCCAAGTTTAGGTTTTTCCAAACCGTTGTAGATCATATACTTGTAGGATTTAACCACTTTTGAATTTCTTATCTGAACTTTTAGTTAAGTCATTCCCTATATTTCTAGGTCTTATTGGAATATACTATTTGTAATCAAATTCCTTATTTATTTTTAGTGTTTTAGTTACTTTTAACTTTTCCTTTTTAAGTTTTTATACACATTTTTATTTTATAGATAAATATTGAACTTAGTATTTTCAGACTAGTTTGGTGTAGCTAATTTTAGAGCTTAGTTTTATGTTTTTTTTTCTTTTTGTTTTTTTTCCTGTAAAAAAAAATAATAAGGTTAAATAGGTGAAATGAAAAATATTCCAGCCATTTAGCAGGTTAGCTCATACTAGTTCATCATGATGTTACAATTGGAGTAAGGTTGAAAATGAGTAAGGTTGAAAATGGAGCAAACATAGAGGGACTCAAGCCATGGAATAAAAGTAGTAAGCAATATTGGGTTTTTAAATGTATTACATGCACTAGAAATAATAAAACAAAATTATTCAGGAGTCTCTGGGATCTCATTAGAGAGATCTAGAGTTTTTGAGGGATATATTACCTAATGATTTGATCTTCTTCGGTTTTAAATAATTCTTTAAAGGCTGAGTTATCACAAACCACAAGTCGTCCAATTGTTAAGCCTCCAACGATAATCCACACGAACCACCAATGATAAATCTCATAAATCTTTATTTAGAAGAGAGAGATTGCAATGTCTAGAGTGCTGGCTCTTTATGTTGTGATTTACGTAGTTTTTCTGTTTAACAAACAACCACTATGAAATAAAAGGCATAGCTTACTATTTATAGAAAAAACTGAAAAAACCATTTAAATTGACAAAAATCAATTCACCCCTCAGTAATATCCATATATTATTCCATGATAATTTTAGAAATTAACTCAATCAATTCCATACTTGATTTTTCTAGATGTACAAATATAATCTCTATATTAATTATATTGTAGTTCTTAATTTCTAAAATATATTTTAATCAAGCCATACTTAATTAAATCATCTCAGTTTAATTCCTAACTAATGATTCTTAATGTGTGAAACCCATTAGGTTTCTAATATGTTGATTCAAATATGATATAATTCTAATTAAATAAATTAAATAATTTAATTTATTATCAATTCAATAATTGATTAATTTATATTTGAAGATCAGATGCATTATTTAGCAATGTATCATGATTCCCAAATATTATTAAAGTCATTAGCAGTTAGACTTAACCTTCTAATGACCGATTTCCCAGTGTAATTAATATTATTTCATCAATAACATTTTAATTTAATATTAAAGCATAAAATATATCATTTATATTAAATTATATTTGTTCTCTATATAATTATATACATAAATAATTTTTTCATATAAAATTCTCACATAAATCAATTCAGTATATATATATATATATATATTAATATGGCCGCATACTCATGAGAACATGCCTAGAATGCTTTCTTTCAAATATGTACATCAAGATACAACTAATTGCTTCAAAATAAAGAGTGCCATGCTTCATGTATATCAAGTTCCAACTATTTTTTTTTTTAAATAATCTCAATCTAAATATTTAATCTATTGAATTAGATGTCATTCATAACTTTATATTTATTAACTCTCAAATAATTTTGACATATATTTAAACCTATAAGAAATCAAGGTATTATATTCTAAGAGTGGTGTCAACGAAACAGGGGAAAGAAACTACTTGCTTCACGCTTTTCGCAATCACTGTCTTCATTCTAGCTAGATTTACATTTACAAGCAATATATATTACTTCCAGGATCCAAAATGATGTTAATGGATAGCAACACTTTTCTATTCAAATCTGGAGTAAGGATCCGTTTGAATGAGATATAACCCTTGCTTGCAACACGGGCCTAGTTACCACTGAGATTCTTCTTTTTCTTGATAATATATCGCATTATTTCAAGTACTCTCCATGATTTTTTTTTAAAATTTTTTTATAGGGAAGTGCAAATAACTGCTTATCTATATAAAGAATAAATAAATAAAATAAAATAGCAAGAAAAGTAGAGAAAAAGAAGAAGAAATGGAAGAGGCTGTATTGTGATATCATCACCAGATTTAGTTTCCCATTGTCCCTTGTCCTTTTCTTTCCCTTCTATTTGACATCAATGGTGTAGGGTCGTTTTTTGTTTATCAATTGTATTATCCCCAAATATTTTATGTTTAAAAAATAATGGCAATTAAACAACAAATTGCAAGACTTCTCCTTTCCCCTCTTTGTATATATAAAATGCGGGTGGCAAAATTGATTAAGAAAAAAATAATAGAAGTTGAAGAGTAGCTAACAACACAAAGTGTCTTCTTTCTTTCTCTGAAGCTATGGGTTCCTCAGCAACTCTTAGTGACCGTGCCCAAAATGTCCCAAAAGAATGCGACACCTCATCTCCGGCCACCAAAACTGATTCTTCTCGCCGAACCGCTTCCTTTTCCTCCTCCTCGTCACTCTCATCATGCTCATCTTTGCGTTTTCTTGATGATTCGCCCCTTAGTCCGGCCACCCCGCTTCAATTTTCCGGTGTTCCATTTTCTTGGGAACATTTGCCTGGGATTCCTAAGAAGCAAAGTCACAAGAAAAAGGACTCTACATTAAAGGCCCTCCCATTGCCTCCTCCTGCCGCCCCTGCTTCAATCTCCAGAAGAATCAATTCCGAGGAAATTAGAATCCGAAAGAAACACAATAATGAAAGTTTTAGAAGGGATCCCTTTTTCGCTGCATTAGTTCAATGTTCAAAGGATGATGATGATGATTATCAAGGCAGTGGCTTCTGGGGTGGTGCTAAGGTATCAAGGAGCATTACTGACAGGTTTGGTTTTGTAAGCCTCTACACTTCCTGTAAAAAAACTAGTGCTGTTTCTGATTCAATAGTATATCTTCCAAGATCAAGCAGGACATCATATGATCTAATTAGTCGCCGTTCTCGCTGAGTTTGTATGATCATTCTCCATGATCATGATGATGTTCTTCTGGACTTTGTGTTCATGTTCTTATAAGATTAAGGTACTACTGAATTTACATTTGCTTTGCTTTTCTTTGCTTTCTTGGTTATGTGAGGGCTACTAGTGTATGTTCTGTCCCAAAAAACATTAGTTGTTGTAATATGTTAATATAACTTGTAAGAATATGAATGGACCGGTAGCTTGCTTTGTTTTGTTTAATGTATGGTTTGAAATGTCTTTTAACTTATGCTCTGTTATGTTACCAAGACATAATTGCATTATACATATCATCTTTGCTGTATTTCATGCATGTGACTACTAAGAGGGCATGGAGTGAAGCTTACATAACACCATGTGAAGGCAGACAATGGACCACGGAAGGAGAGGGACGACTTCATTATTAATGTGACTTTGTTTGAAGGGACTTCTATTATTTTCTAGCTTTATTTGACATATTAGTGGTATCTTGGTGTGCATTGGGATGGGTCTAGTAGGAGGCTGTGAAGCTACCTTGGCTCGTACTTTCACAAGATTTGTACTCTAGTGTTCTAGAACCAGATTCCTAAAACTCATTTTGATGCTCGTTGGCCGTAAAAGCACTTCCATGGAAAATACTATTTACTTTGGTTTTGTAAATTATGGATGTGTATGATTCATTGGTGATTGTAAAAATACTAAAATATACTGAGGAGCCTTCTATAAGTCCAGAAAGTTAAAAGGTTGTCTCATTTGATCATGACCTCGTTTAAAGCACTTTGGATCAAATGTTTCAACTCCTTGGTCTCCAAATTATTCTCCAAATCCAAATCCATGGTCAAATGTAGAAAATTATCTCACAAAGATGCCTCTAGAGCCGGTTTGATAATACTATAGTAGTTATTTTTTAAAATATTTTTTTATTAAAAATATATTAAAATAATATTTTTTAATCTATATTGTACTTCATCACATCAAAATAATCTAAAAATACAAATAAAAAATTAATTTAAAAAATAATAATAATTATTAAAAAACAAATAAAAAATTAATTTAAAAAAAAAAAATATTAAAAAACACTTATAAAATATAAAAACAAACACACTTGTAATGATTTTCAACATATATATTTTGTGATTTATATGTGCTCAACATGCAATTGTATGTATTCCAAGTTTATATGTATAACTCATTCGGAAGTGTGGTAGTGTTTTTTTAAGCAAATATAAATATTTTTTAATTTTTTAATAATGATTTCTTCCATTAATATATCAAAACGATAAAAAAGTTATAAAAAATTAATTTTTCAATTATAAAAGTCAAATTTTTAGGTAATGTGGTTGCGTCCCGAACTAGTTTTAACAGCTTTGGATTTGAAGTAAACACTATGGTGGGAGAGGAATTTTTAATTAAGAACGTTGTATTGAGGCAGCCTCTTGGGACCCAAAACTAATTGCCTAAAGATTTCTTCCGAACCACCATGATTCCGGTTGATTTTCCGTCATCAAATTTCAAACCAACCATTTGATTTTAGGCACATTTTTCCCTCAATGGTTTCTTTTTTAAAGAGATACGAAAATCAAATGGCTTGATGTCCCCAGCTATATATCCTCATATTTAATTGTCATGAACATCCAGCATCGAAAGTCAATGTATTCAAACAGAGAAAAATTGGTGTCCGCGTGAAAAAATATTACTCGAATGGCAAGAGAGGGTTCGTGAATATTTGTACCTAAGAACATGAAAACTTAATTCATATATATATATATATCCTCTTGGCTGAACCATGTAAGTTTTCTTATTACACATATCCAACGCTCTTATGTTCCACCCTTTAGATTACATATATGCGCTGAGTTGAGCGAAGCTGAAACACTATGGAGTAAAATATAATTACAGGCGGCATCAATGTTTTCTGAAAACTTGACAAAACACCATTCATTTAGATACAATATCGACGAATTTGGAATGTTTTCTTAATATGGAGGGGTCTTATATATGTTAGTATTTTTTATTTTTAATTTTTATCACAACTTGTGACATTGCAATCTACCCTATTATTAAAGGCATTACTGAAAAATCCATCCCAAAATATTGGCTTAGAAGAGAAGATGATTTCTATCGCTTTCTAGCCTGCTGGAGTCTTCCTTGGGTAGGCTCCATCATCCACGATTATTTACTCCGAGCTGTCAAAATTGCTTCGAATATTTCCAAGTTGTCTGGGTGTCTATGTATGTTCAGGGCCTCCGTCTCAGAAACAAAGTTCAGTAGAAGTATGCCCTGAGAGTGATGATTGAAGCGGCGATATGATGAATAATTGGTCCAACGGGTAGACTATGCATGGCCCATGTTCTCATTGTTTACACTGTTCAACTGAGTGGAAAAACTAGATATCCTAAACCATAATTAAAGAGGGCAAGGAAAATTAAGTCAAAACTCAAAAGTAGTGCTCCATGGCTGGCCGGATTGACCTCTACAAGAAAGAAGAGGCAATTAAGGGCGTGCTGCTGGTCTTTGTAAAGACAATCGAGTAAAAAAATGCACGGGGCTATAATGTTAAATAAAAAAGAATCCAATATGAATGTATTTTATTGAATACATGAAGTTTACGCAATATTATCTTGGTATTGCCAAAATTATGTCACCTAAATTTACGAAGCACATCATGTCAAAATAGAAAAATAAACGTCATCTAATTGGCTGGTTGCTACCTGCTACTAGTGAATTATTAGAGGGGGAGCCATGGCCATGCTCCTTGCACTCTTTCGTTCAGACAGAACCTTAGCGAGTTTCTAACTCTTTGTTCCCTCCCATGATTATATATAAAACTAAAAAAAATATTAATTTTAAAATTAATAAAATTAGTTGAAGTATATATAATTGATTTAAAAATCAATATTAATAAAAAAAATAATAAAAAATATTAACCGAGTCTAGAAATATTTCTTAGGAGGCAATTTTTTTATATATATAAATAACCAGAAGAAAACACAATATTGTATCCCTTGCACTCTTTAAATAAACGACATCTACATTAACAATTAATAGGTGGATTTGCGAGATCTATATATATATATATATATATATTAATTAGAAGTAAGACATTATTGTACGACATGCTGCCTGTACTTCGTGTTTCTTTTCTGTCCACTCTCCAACTTATTTCATTTCTATATTCATAAAAATATATATTTGGTGTTCAACAATAATGATTTTTGTTGAGCAAAGTATAGAGAGAGATGGAGACTTTGTTGAATGGCCCTTCACTTGCTGGTCATTTTCTGCTTTCTTTCAATAAATATCGATTTCTATTAAAAAAAAAAAGAAATAAAAGTAATGATTTTGGCATTAGAGCCTTATTAACTCAATTGATAATTATGCTCTAAGAAATTACAAGTACCTTTCATGATGTAACCCAACCCAATTGCATATATAGACCCGCTGCAATTGCTAGTAATAACAATGGATCCAATTTCTTCTCCTAAAAGAATTGTGGTTCATTTCTCTATTTTACAAGATGGAAAAGAAAATAATTTTATTTTTAATTTAATTCCATTTCTTTGCAAGTTGATCTTGAGTATGAATTCCTACTTAACATATTCCCTCCATAATTAGATGCTCTCCATGATCAAGATCGTGCTTCTTACCTGATATCTCGTGTGGTAGGTGATCACTCAGTGATAGTGCATATAATTAATTAAATAATAACACAGGAAGATTCACAGTAAATATCTTGAATAAGAAATACGGGTAGTGTATCCCGGTAAGAAACATTATCATGTTGTTTGTCATAATGAGTTCTCCTTTTTCATCATGAACATAAAAGAGCTGCACTTAACACGATATATTTGAAGACCAGCAGCAGCGAAGCAATAAGCCGTCAATGCCACCACCGACGGTTCACTAAACATGCATAGATGTGGAGAGAAACATCAATGGCTTGGGGACCCATGGCATCATGAAGCATTTTGAACACGGTTGCTTGAGAAGAAAGATTGTGTTTGTATTGGGAATTGAAGCATGCATTCACTCTTTATCAAGAGTCCACCATGGTCCTAGCAAGCCAAATGTGCGTGGATCTTTTTAAAAGTGAGAAACAAGCATGGGTAAAATTAAAAATGAAGTGAAAGAGATAGATCAAAGTGTAATAAGTGAAATGTTTAGGACCTAATTGAATAAATATACACTACAAGATTTTACAGTTTTACCGACGGATGGTATAAGATTCAAACTCTGTATGTAATTTTTTTATTGACTATATCACAGATAGAAAGTATCCGTCGACATGCTTTTTGTTAGTAATACCACATTACGTCGCTCACTCTGTCAATAAAAAAATATTACTGATGGTTTTATAGAAGAAAAATGCACACAAAAAAAATTCCTGTTGGAAATATACTAATGACTTTATTTTGTCGATAATGGCATATCCAGTAAATATTTTTTAGCTCTCGGTAAAGTATCGATGGACACTCTCCGTCTGTAATGTTGTCAGTGAGTGTGACATTTCCGCCACTCTATAAAATACCGATGAACTGTATCTATTTGTAAATTTGTCGGTGAATGTGGCATTTTGTTTTCTGTAAAATGTCGACGGATACATTCTATTTGCAAATCCGTTGATATGTATTTTTAAATTTGTTTTTTTTAATTATTCAAAATAAATAATATAAAATAATATAAATTGATAGTAAAAAAACCAATTATGCAAATAAATTTTTATTAAACATCAAAAATAAAAAAATAAAGTTAAATAATATTCATTGCAAATTGAACATGTTTCCAAAAAAACATTAAATTAGCACCACATCGGAGTTGAAGGAGGAGGAAGTTGGTTGTTTCCAGAACCATATGGCAAAAAAAAAAAGATGCACATGTATCACCACTCTTTGATAAAATTCAAAATAAATCAGAACACGAATGTTGTGATCCCAAAACTTAAAGAAATATGACTTGTGTTGAGAAGATGAGAATTTTTTTAAGGGTGGTTGTTTGTAGTTTGGAAGGAAAGAGTTGGGATGAGAAAGAAAAAGAAGAAGAAATAGGGGAGGGAGTGTCTGTAGAGCGGTGATATATTAATTTTTGCTGAGGGAATCACCAATAGACTCATTATGTCGGTGATTCCGTCAACAATTTTGATAGTAAATTGGTCACTTCACTGTACAGAGATCTCGGTTTGAATCTCTCAATGATTTTGTCGGTAAAATCATTCGCAAAAACTTTCACGTTAGCGAACTGTCTTTTTTTAAATTCTGAATATTTCGTTTGTAATTCTATCGAGCGATATTCCATCGGCATATACCAACTGAATTACAAATAGAATAATGTTCATCGGTAATTATCACTGCAATTTACCAATAAAATTATGTTATTGGTAATTTTATTAGTATTAAGCGAATTTCTGATAATGATAAACTATACAAATAAAATTAATTTTACTTATAACAAAATTAGGAGGTGGATATGGCTTCTCATGAGTGCCAATACTTCTATCTAAAAACAACTAAGAAGATAGACATCTAGGCTCAATACACCTTATTAATTAAGTTCTTGACTATTGTTACAAGGGACATGGATGCAATCTCTATGTAAAAATGATAAAAAAAAAATTGCTATCTAAATTTATAGTAATTTAGGATCCTAATTGGTCTTCAAAGGTGTTAGATAAATCCAAAAATAT